TCTTTCTTGAACTCATGGAATGATCTTAAACTGTTTGAAACATTTGACTTTACTCGAGGACGAGTAAAGAACTAAGTGTGGGGGAGTTGATACGTTTGTAATTTCCGTGTGTTTATTTACGTTTTTAGTTAGTTTTGGTTGTTTAATATTTCGGAAATTACACACTTTTGGTGTAATAGTTAGTTTGTTAAAATCTTGTAAATTGTTTAGATTAGGTTTATTCTGAGCTTAAACAGGTCCAAGATCAATCAAATGATCAATGGTGAAGGAAGGTGCAAGAGTACAAGACAAAAAGAAGGAAAAATTCCTGATTTTGGGGTATACTCGATCGAGTATACCTTATACTCGATCGAGTACCAATACTGATTTTCAAGGATCCGATTCGGGAACAAATGAACATGCAAGGAAAGATTTGGCCACGTTCTATTGTCATACCCGATCGAGTACACCGACATACTCGATCGGGTATACATGTAAAATCTACTCGAGTATTGATCGAGTATTGACCGAATTCTGATTTCTACACATACTCGATCGAGTATATGTATATACTCGATCGAGTACCCGACCTGCACCTCAAAAAGCCTATAAATACACCTCCTTTCCTTCACTTTGAGATACCAATTCATATACACTCTTAAGCTCAGTTTAGAATAGCATTTCTTATATTTCTTTTAGCATGTTTAGTCTCCAAATGAGGAGCTAAACTTCCATTTCTTGGTATTGCTCTTGAAGCTTGTTGACTATTAAAGTTGTGAGTTATTTTCTTAACTTCTTTTCCTTGAATATTAATTCTTCCTTTAAATACTATTTCTATATCAATGTTGGGGAGTGTTACTAAGATGACAATTAGTTAACATCTTGACATTGGTTTTAGTAATAGCTATTCCTTCCTCTATGTTAATATCGGGGAGTGTTACTAAGATGACAATTAGTTAACATCTTGATATTTAACTATAGTAGGATTCATTCCCTTTTAATATTCTTCCTTGAGTATTAATTAATTCCTATTCATATTTCATATTAATATTTTGAACATTACTTAAAGGATCAACTAGTTTTGTTTCAAATATTAATTACTACTAGAAATGATCAACGAACTGACGGTTAATCGTTGATAGTTTCACAAGTAAGTAACTTCGGTTTATTAATGCACGGTTGTGGTTAATAGACCTAAGAGGAATTAATTGTGTTGGTTAAACCAAAACCGCTTGTGTTGAGGTTATCGATCTCAATTGATTTCATCAAGGAGTTAAGCGATTAAATGCTACTATCAAGTCGGTATACGGCGCTTGTTCTATACTTGACTAATAGTAAGGGTTATTAATGAACTGTCGTTGTTAATAACTATCCTCGATGAATTGGATATACTCCTCGATTGAGTATTCGAGAGGAGATAAGTTATAGATATAACAATGATCGACTAAAATGTATCAACAAGTGTAAAGTAGCAATACCAAGTCAATTTTATCTTTGAATTAAATCCCATATAAATCGTTCATCTTCGTGTTTAAATTTAATTAAATCACTCAACAATCAAAACCCCCCCTTTACTTACTATTTATATAAAAAGAAAATTATTCCTTTCCCTGTGGATACGAACTCTACTTCACCTATACTACGTATAAGTGTTGTATTGAATTTACTTTGAGTGCACTCACGACAAAGTGCACGTCAGTTGTAAACAAATCGAATAATTTTGATTCGATTCGTGATTCGAATTCGAAAATGCCGATTCGAATTCGAGTAAATAGAATACGAATACGAATACAAATATGTTTTCTGAATCGAATACTTTACGAATACGAATACAAATACTATGATATTCGATTCGAATGATATTCGAATATATTTGAATTACATAGGAATATATATATATGTAATAAAAAATTGTAATCTGTTTATAAATAAATATAACTCAATATAAAAATATTCATAACATAGTATTTATGTAAATATTTTGCCTAAATTAATTTAAATTAAATGTTCTTACTTTACCACGTCAAAATAACTTAATTTAAAGTTAAAATTCTCCGCGGATTTATTTATATTGATTTTAAATTTGAAGAAGTGACTTGTATAAATACATTTTGCTTGGTATGAAATATGAAAATGAGTTAAAATGGGCAAACTTTACATCATAATTTTAAGTATTTTCATAATTTAACTTTAATGTTTTTCAAATTCGAATATTCGAATTCGATTCGAAAAAGATTCGAATATATCAAACGAATCGAATACGAATATAAAATAAGATTAAGAAAAGGGGCAAATAAGCCCTCGAACTATTCAAAAAAGTGCAAATAAGCCCTTTTGTAGGAGGTTTCGTTTGTCTATCGTCATTTGGGGAGGTTCCCGGTGGAATTATTTGATGAAATTTTTTGAGCATCTTATTCAATAAGTCTAGTTTAGTCATACCGAATTTCAACTAAAAAATCAATCGGGAAGATAGTCAAATGAATTTTTGAAGATAACTGCGCAGTTAAACAATGCAGTGTAGTTCCGAAAGTCATTTGAGTGCCTTCCCGGTTGAATTTTTAGCTGAAATTTGGTATGGATAAACTAGACTTAATGAAGAAGATGCTCAAAAAAATTCATCAAAAATTTCCACCGAGAACCTCCCCAAATGACGATGATCGGACAGAACCTCCTACAAAAGGGCTTATATGCACTTTTTTTATTAGTTCGAGGGCTTATTTGCCCCTTTTCCCAATAAGATTCGAATTTTAAACGAATACGAATACGAATATTCGATAATTTTACGAATATGAATAATATTGTCAAGTATTCGGTTCGATTCGATTCGTTTACAACCCTAAGTAAAAGTGACTTTAATGGTCAGTACAAAATATAACTCCTCCATCCAGAAAAAAGGTTGGCCTGACTTTACTTGAATTAATAAAGTAAAAACTGTGTTGAAATTTGTGTAGATGAGAGAGAATTAACTATAGCCACATATTCCTTACTTTAAATGGAAATGACAAATATTTTGGGACATCCAAAAAAGAAAATTTGGCCAATCTTTTCGAGACGGAGGGAGTAAATGTGTAGTACGAAGCAAATCTTTAAATAGATGCATGTACAAGCAACTATACAAATATTGCATAGTTACTTTAAGCCCAACAAAAACGTACTCATATTTTTGTATCCGTAAATACAACAATGCTTGATGTACCCATTCTTATACCCACCTTATACCCACCATGTTTGTGGAAGTATTTTTTTGTATGTGAACCCGGTTCATGGACAATATTTTGTTTGTGCAAAATATTGTCTGTGAGCCGGGGTTCACAGACAAAAGAAAACACTTCACAAACATGGGTGGGTACAAAAGTGGGTATAAGAGTGGGTACAAAGATCATTTTTGCCGTAAATATGCATGTATTTGAATACGAGTATGTGTGTTCGGGTTTTGGGGGCATCAAATTTGACACATCGACAATGGTCAAGGGCATCAAATTTAGGAAGTGTCCCACTTTTTTTTTAAAACGGGTAACTTAATTCATATTAAAATTGAGAATCAGATACAAAGCCGCCACATTAAAGGCTACACTGGGATGAGGCATGAAGCTGGAAAATGCGCCCCAACTCGCTAAACCCACAAGATGGTAGACTCCACTAACAGCACCGCTGCACCTGCTACTAGAATGAATGCTAAAAGTAACTAAAGAGTTCTGGGGAAAAGAGCAAAAATAAGAATAACGAGATCTAGTTTTTCGAGCCACTCACAAGGAAATTGCGGTTTGTCCAGCCCCCACTAAAGGCTCATCTTCGTTGTCACAGACCGCCATTTCTTTACTACTCGCAAGTTTTTCCTCATTCCTGACCATCCTTGGAGCTTAAACCTTCCACCATATAATTGTCAGGGGCTGCCGCCTTTGTACTCAAATGACCCAATCTGTCCACATCCCCCCGCCTCTCACTGGGTCTGTTTCCGTTGGGGATCAGCCACCTATTTACTGGGTGCATACCACCTCGACGCATATGTGCGCGTAGCCAAGATCCATAAGGTTTCTCTCCCACCCAGGGACTTGCATGTGCCTTGGATGGACAAAGACGATAAGCATGACCAAGAATTCTACACAAAAAACAAAAGTTTGGAAGCCTCTCGTATCTGAAGTCTGCTCATATCCAATTGTCTCCTTCTTGTCGGATCTGCAATCTCCGGATCAAAGCCATATTGACATTAATTGTGACTCTTATTCTCAAAAACAGTCGTTTCCCCCCGAGAGAGCGCTCATCTACTCGGACGAAGCTCCCAATATTGTTACCAATTCCCCGAGCTGCTTTAGTTGTCCTGTACCCTAAAGGAAAATTGTGAACATGTACCCAAAAGTCTGCACGATCCAATGATACTTGAAGAAGCTTATCATTATGCCCTAGTTTTTTTACCACTACTAATTTCTGTTCAAAAGACCAAGGTCCCCCCTCAACAACTCGATTAATATCGCTCGCATGATAAAATTGGAGAAAAAATTTGGAATCACTAATCTCTTCAATGGTCACTCCCTGACTTGGTCGCCACACCATGGCCATGGTTTCTCGAAAAGCGATTGGACGAACAGGTTTATCTGTTACCACTCTTGTCATAGCCAATAAACAAGCTCCCCCATCACCCTTACTATCACCCCCGACCGGGTTTGCTTTCAGAACCAAGCCCTTATTTTCCTCCTCAAAAATGGTAACTTTACTACAGGTCTCAACAATCATATCGAAGGCAGTAATCAAGCCACCAGCAAATAATAAGCAAGCCACACACTAAAGTAAAAACAACCACAGTGGACCAACAACAACAAAGCCTACACAAATAGCTCACAAATCTTGTCAAAAACTTGGTGGGATTGACAAACCCATGAACCAAGAATAAACACTCTTTAGACAATAACGAATTTAAATTCTCGGCAAGGGAGCGCCGGAACAAAACGCCGGGTACCTCACGACCCGAAAGCCAAACAACTAGAACCAAGCAAAAGAAGCAGAATCAATTAGAGAAGAAGAACCTGTTGGGGAATTGCCGGAGAGGGGGATTCCACTGCACACGATCGAATGATCTGAAGTCGGCTTCATCCCTCATGCGCGAGTAGGGTTAGTCACTACATCGTTTCTTCGAGGAGATCGACTCTGAGTTAGGTGCCCCACTTTTTATAAAAACTAGAAAAAATGATGAGAATAATCTTACCTTTCACTGGTCTTTTCGTAATAATTTCACCTTTATATAATCCCAAAATAATCCCACTTTTACATCTCATCTTCTTTCAGTAGACCCTGACCATGTTTTTTACCTTTCTTTGAAAATCTTATACTCCCTCCGTCTTGATGGACTTTGCCAAGTGCATAGTAGGTGAGAAATAAGAATAGTAAAAATTGTTTGGTTGAGATTTGTGCAGTGGAGAGAGAAATGTGCAGAACCACAAATTAGTTGCTTTAATAGAAAAGTGGTAAAATTTTTTGGGACAACAAAAAATAGAAAGTTGGCAAAGTCCAATGGAACGGAGGAAGAATTAATAATCTCACATTGATAAATATATAATAAAAAGTGAAAGGTGAGATTTTGTATATGATTTTCAAAGAAAGGATAAAAAACCTGGTCAGGGTCCAATGAAAGAAGATGGGGTGCAAAGGTGGAATTATTCTGTGATTATGTAAAGGTGAGATTATTATGAGAAAACTAGTGAAAGGTGAGATTATTCTTGTCAATTTGTCCTAAGAACTATTATATGTTTATATAATAATATATTAATATTAATGTTGTTAATAGATGGAACATAAAGCTTCCAAATACACATAGCTTGGGCCAAGCTATGTGCCGCTACTAATCAAAATTACTTTGGTAGTCAAACTTATTTTTTTAGTCAAAATTACCAAAGTAACAAAATGATTAAACTCATAATCCTAAAGGCAAAGCTCATAAGAGGAACCACTAGGGCAACAACCATGCTGCTACCAATCAATTGTTTGTAATTAAAGATTATCCATAAATCCGCCATTCAGATTTCATATTTGCATTGCGTAATTCATTATACTCCATATTTTGTATTGCTATTGAAGTGTTTGAATGAGTCCCGTATAGAATTTTTTTTGAGTGCTCCAAATTCTTTTATTTTGTACGGAGTAGTATTTATTATGATGGGGAAATAGAAACAAGAATAACGGGCTTCAAAGAGAAAACTTAAGAAAAGAAAAGATGAAATAATGCAATCCTTTGTGAGTTCAATGGATAGTATGTAAAAACAAATTCTTCTCCAACGACCTCAAACAAAAATATCGGGCCAAATGATAAAGTCGATAATGAAAAAATCGGCATTCAACTTGGGAATGAAAATAAAAATAAGGACATGGATAGTACTTTATAGTTTTATTTATTTATTAGAAGAATTTAATTTACAATTTCACATATTTTATATTAACTTTAAGTGAAGTACAACCTTTTACCTTTAGTAAAAATTGGTGATATAATTTTCTAATGGGTTCATATTTCTAATGGCTAACATTTCACATTTGCCGATGCACAACTTTGACCATTACTATATACAATTTTTTATTAGTAAAAAATTTTAAAATATTTAATTTTGAAAGTTTACACTGAGAAATTAAAAAATATTTTTTCAAAAAATATATCAATACATTAATAAATAAAATGTAGTCAAGATAGAACATGTGAATAGTGTGAAATTCAAAGTGTTGCATTTGTTTAAGAACGGAGATAGTATTTATGTGGTTTTTTTCTTATTAATAAGTTTAAAAGAAAAAAAACATCACATAATTATATCCTAATAATAGCAAGTTTAATTTGTTAGTACTACTACAATATATCATTAATACATTATGAAGTATTACTTATATTCTACGGAGTATTACTTATATGCTACTACTATTACGTAATACAGTACGGAATATTATCTATTAATATGCATGCACGGACAAAATGAAAGGGTAATAACGTCCTTCCTTACTCTCTCTCCACGGAGCATTTTCTCCAGCATTATCTTCCCCTGACATGTTCTTATAAAAAGGACATTCACAAAGCATTTTCTATTTCTCTCACGTTGTTACGAAAAGGACTTCTCCGGTCATTGCTCTACATTACAACGACCTTCTCCGGTAATTAATTTTGCTCAGTTTCTAGTATTTGTTTTTTAGATTTCATTGTTTCCGCAGCACTATATTACCATACATTCTCTCTCTCTCAGTCTTTTAGTATGTTTTGTTTTGAGATTTCATTATTTCTGCCGGCACTATATTACTGTACCTTCTCCGATAAATCATTACCTAACTACAAAAGTTCTTTTTCTTAAATGGATTTAATGACAAACATTTCCACTCAAATCCTGTAGAATAGAGTAATGGATACTAGTTTTTAATGGCGAAATGGGTGCACATCGATCTCTTCCGCCAGTTCGCGATCAAGGATCACAACGTAAGTTGTATTCTGTTTTGTAATTTTAACCTTGCACAAATTTAATCTTACACGTATCTAACCTTACATAATTTGTTAGACAACGATTTGTTCTTGCATTGCGATTGTAGAGGTGATAGAAAACCAACTTTTCATCAGAAACTGATTGGGAGATCCAAATGCCCCTCCTCCGGTGATGTTGTCTGTGGGATACTTTGTCAATAAATTCAACAACACATTTGCTCCTTCTGAAAAATGTGTAGATGGGATTCTCAATTTTGTTAAACGTAATGATGGACTAGTGTCGACGCAGGATTATACAAAGTTTGGTGACGCATACATGTTTGCTCTTGCTGAAAATGTCAAACTAGTCCACATATGCGCGTCACCAAACCTTGTATAATCCTGCGTCGACACTAGTCCATTATGTTCAACAAAATTGAGAATCTCAGATACACATTTTTCAGAAAGAGCAAATGTGTTGTAGGCGCACGCCCTCTCGCAGAGGGAACGGGTCCACCAGCCGAGCCCCATATGTTTAAAAAAATCAATAGCAATAGAAGTCATTTTTAAAAGGCAAAACCATCAAATAAGCCCCCGTACTATGCCAAAAAAGTCGATTAGGCACTCATACTTTACAAACACTCAATTAAGTCCTCGAACTATTAAAAAACGTTCAATTAAGCCCTTTCGGTCGGTAAGTAACCGGTTTCCCAATTAAACGGCGACGACGACGACGACGTGCTCGAACCACAGCAATGACGGCTGTTGAGAAACAGGTTACATTTAACCAGGAAACCGATTACTTACCGACCAAAAGGGCTTAATTGAACGTTTTTTAATAGTTCGAGGACTTAATTGAGTGTTTTTAAAGTACGAGAGCCTAATCGACTTTTTCGGTATAGTACGGGGCTTATTTGATAGTTTTCCCTTTTAAAAAGTTATTTATTTTGAATTAGGTCAATACTGGCCCGGACCAATGGTACCCGAAATAATTTAGTTAGCTTTGGTCCAGTTAAGAATTTCAGATTAAATTTATATTAGTGACTATCCTAAATTTTCAGAATTTTAGTTCTTTATCTTGAGCAACTGAATAACAACAATTCAACAAACATGCTAAATTGCTAACCACCAGAAATATTTACTAAATAACTCCGTACGGAGTAATAATAATATGGGTATCCATCAAGGAATCGGAGTATTTGAAAACAGAGCGCACTTTAAACTCTTTCAAGTTCGAAAAAGCTCATTCCGGTAAGGAGGAAGAAATCCAAACACCCCAACTCCTACAGAGTATATACTCAGCAGCATCCATAAAGTGCCTAGAACACATCAGAAATCGGCAATAGCGCTCCCATGGCCAGGTATCCGGCTACCTTCTTCTCTTTTCAATCTGTATTTTATATCATTGTTATGTTTATTCATATAAAGATTTTCTTTAGCCCACTTCATTGAATACCAATGTCAAGATTCTCCAGAATGTATCTTTTTTCTTCATTTCCAATGTCTGCTGGATATTATTACAAATTTCTACGAGTGACTGGTTTCTTCAAGTCAAAACTTGACTTAAAGTTCATATTTTTATTTCGCATTTCTTGGTTTTCTCCCAATAGAGTTGTATCTTTGAACGGGTTAAAGGGGCCATTTGATTATGCATAACTTGGGTTTTGAAGGGTTTTAGAGGGGAAGGGTCATTTTGTTATTTCAGATTATGATTACTATATATGGGTTTTGGTAATAAATAAATGGCTAGACCGCTACACTCGGATTTTTGACACTGGCAATCTTCATGATAGAATGACAGTAGATAGGGTAGTTACTAAATTTTACGTGCTTCCTTTGGGATGAATACACTCAAGCATTTTACCCCATACGGTTTGGTTTAAAACTTGCAGACCTTCTTGGTTGGTTGATGGGAACAGGATAGCAACAAAAATCAGAAATGCATCAGGTGATCCCGGTAATGCTTACTGGAAAAGTAACCCTTCAAGGACTTGCCCCAAATGCCACCATATCATTGACAACAGCGATGTAAATTTCTTTATCTTTGACTTGTTGATTTTCGTTTAAAAAGTTACTTTTTTCTATACTTTTGTTTGATTTATACTCAGCTTGAACTGGATACTGTTATCTTAGATTTAAGCTAAGCGCATTCATTCTAACTCTTGCTTGAAGATATCCAATGTTGTTCACATTGCAATGAGAATCAAATATATTAATCAATATGTGGTAGTAAATAAGAGCTTTCAACTTCTGCCACAAAAGTAATTGTCTTTTGACTTTTAAAAGGTTAGAACTATTAAAACTTGGGGTTAGATTATAAAAGATGAAAAGAATAGCAACACCTTATATGCTTTTTTTACTCCGTATTTTTATATCTATTCTTAAGTAGGGCATCGTCATTTTAGGTAACTCAGGAATGGCCAGGATTGCCTAGAGGTGTGAAGTTTGATCCAACAGATCAAGAGATCATCTCGCACTTACTTGCAAAAGTTGGAAATGATGATCTCAAACCCCATCCTTTTATTGATGAGTTCATTCCAACAGTTGATAAAGATGACGGGATATGTTACACTCATCCTCAAAACTTACCAGGTAACTATTATTTTCTTATCCTCTATTCTCACAATCTTTTGTTATAGTATCTCAAATAAGGAAAATATTACCCACATGGTATTTATTTTAAAAGGGTATTTTCTAAAATATTACTAAAATTAAACTTTATGGACAAACATATGACATTGTGAAAATACCATCGGTCACTATGATGTAATAGTCACATTTTTGTCCATTACCTTTATTATAGTCACATACTTATCATTTTCTCTTATTTAAGTTCTAATCATTCATTCATCCTTAGCTTCACGTTTGCTGATGGAGTAACCATTTAGGTGTTAAGCAAGATGGAAGCGTTGCACATTTGTTTCACAGAGCCATCAAAGCATATAATACCGGTACCCGGAAGCGCCGAAAGGTACAGGGTGTTGATGTTGGAGATTTTAGGTGGCACAAGACGGGTAGGACAAAACCTGTGTTCTTGGATGGTGTACAAAGAGGGTGTAAAAAGATAATGGTTCTTTACATGGCCTCGGTCAAGGGAGTGAAAGGCACCGAAAAAACAAATTGGGTTATGCACCAATATCATCTTGGGGCACAAGAGGATGAAAGAGAAGGGGAATATGTCATATCCAAAGTGTTTTTTCAGCAACAGCAGGTGGTGAAACAAAGTGAGAGAGCGGAACATGAATCTCCTGAAGAACCTGAATCCTTGGATGCTATCATGGATCCTTATACTCCAAAGACTGAGACTCCTGAACCTGCTCGTTTAGAAAGAAGACCATTGAGTTCAGTTTCCGTGCTGGAGACCCCTAATGTTGAGGTATGTTTGACTTGTCACATGTTTGAAAAGTATTGATGGACAATGATGATATGTGAAAACAAATTATGATTTATTATTAAGCTTATACTAATGATTGCCAATAGCTAATTTCTAATTAAGCTTTTTAGCTTCTTTTTTTTTTTTACAGAATCTTACTTTAAATGATACGTAGTACCAATTGTCACCCATAATCTAATGATGATACATACCTTGAAATCACTTTAAACACTATCAACTATTTGAATATATAACGAAAATAACACACAGCCGTTTATCTACTACTAATCCGGTCGTTTAGCAAATGCCAAACCATCAAATAAAGTGTTACATATATTTTAAAAAGGAGTCACTTATTTGATGGGTCGATATCAATTTTTGATGGGTCAAATGACCTAGTTTATAGTTGGAAAGTGCCCTTTAATCATATGCATGATATTTAAATGATTGGTAGAATGGTTGTGCTTAAGGTTATTTCTTAAGTATGTCTTATTATTGGTTTATGAGTTATAGTTGACATTATTTAAAGTTATTTTCCCTTTTTGAAGGGAATCGTTTCAGATAAAATTTGTTTCATTGAAATTCTTAATAACAGAATCTGTATTTGATTGGGTTAAGATTATTTAACAAGCTTCTTGGAGTAGCTTTTCGAATAACCTGATGAACTTTCATGCATGTTTCCATTCTTACCCTCTCTTAACTTTTAAAAGCATTTTAAAAGTGCACTTTATATTATTGTTTATTTCCATACCACACTATATATATGATATAAGCTACCCTATCAGTGATAAGTTTTATGTTGCTAATAACTTATATCCTATTAGTTGCCAATCTTAGCCAAAGAGCTAAAAGTAAAGAGATGTAAAAACATAGTTTCAAAGGTGGGCTGCATGAACCAATAAATAATTTGTAAGGCCATCTACCAGTATGTTTGTTTATAAAATTTGAGAACCAAGCCAAGCACACTATTGAATCAGTATTACTATTTCACAGTAGTGTAGTTTTGGTTGGTTATTTTATGTTGCACAATATCTTTCTCTTTATAAAACCAAGAGAGCATTTAATACAAGTTTTCCATTTTGTCATTCTCCATATTCCTCGAATAACTTAATATCAAACAGTTCTACGAAAGGTTGGTTTATGTAAGCGCTACTTTCTGCAAGATTTTAGGGTATTTACTAAGTTTCTAAAGATCTTAGTGCTTAATAAGGTTTTAAATGTCAGATTGTCAGCCAATGTGAAACAGAGAGAGTAATTAACCAAAGGATAATAAAATACCGCGATGTGTTAGACTAGCTAAAAAGCATTGTTTAGGAAACAAGAAATAAAACAATGTAGGAGACACAGTAGGCATACTCAGGTGCCATTATATACACATGTATACTGCATGAAGAGCTAGTCATTTCATCTACTGCAATTGAAACTCTTTCTGCGGTTTTCCCAAAGTTTTTTATACATAGCCATTCAGGCCCCGTTTGCTGACTTTAGCAGAGTGAATAAAGTTTGATAATCGGTATGACCTTATTTGGTTAACATAGATGTTATCGAACTCTTTTTACTTTAGACAGATTCCAGCCATTTCAGACAAATAATCCTTACCAAAGGGGCCCTTAATTCATTCCATCATTTACAGTTTTTCATCTCAGCCTCGGTCTTGGGAGATCTCAAAAACTAATTTAAGTCTCTTTTTATAATTTAGAGTGAATAATTCTTTTGTTGTATGTATTCTTCACATATATTTTGAATAAGTAAATACAGGCTTATTTGGCTCTTCATGTATTCACACACACTCCCTTGACATTCAGCAGCAGGTAATGAATTGCACAGAGGCTTACACAAAGATTCCATCTTTTAAGGATATCAATCTAGAGGAAACCTCAGGGAGCCAACCTGAGAAGTTGGAGGTGCAAAATGAGAATGAAGTGTGGGATAGTGAAGCATATATATTAGATACACAACAGCTAGCAGAAGGGTTTTCCTTAGTTGACGAATTTCTTCAGAGCCAATCTCCAAACAGGGATGGAGGCGAAAATGGTTGTAATGAGCAAAAGGGCACACCCGGGCTTTCTGATTATAGACACTTGGACAAAGAGACATTTAAAAAGGATCTTGAGCAGTGCCAAGAGTTGATCCTTGATGATGGACACATAGAGAACAGCCAAGATTATGTGGGCATTGACTCTCAAGCTATAGTTCAAGACACACCGCCTGACTTTCGGCTAAGCCAGCTTGTAAGTTATGAACCTGAATGCTATGGTTTTTTAGTTTTTCTTTTCTTTGGCGGTTTTAATGCCTTTGTAGCAAGATTTTTTACCAACCACTGTTATTTTATTTGACACACTAAATTGATTTATAATTAAAAGAGAAAAGTTTGAGTTACTTATTTTCCTGAATTAGCTCTATTCGTTAAAGAGTTAATTTTTTAGTTTTTCCCGTATATCGTTTTCATTACCTTATCAATGTAATATGTTTTAAATATATATTTTTCATCATTCAACCAATTCTTCCAACGACAATTTCAGCATATCCAGCCAATTTAATCTTACCAAATAGTTTCTTAAAATTGACATTTTTTAAATCACAAGACATAAAACCAACAGTAATACGAAACATGTCCTATGCTCTTTTTTGCATTCTTTCTAGAACGTGCGAAATCTGGCTGCAATTTTCTAATACTTTCATGTTTATGTGGGTGTTTTAAATAGGAGTTTGGATCTCAGGACAGTTATGTTGCTTTTGGTGGGACTAAGATTGATTCTTATGAGAAAGGAAGTGATTAATCATCATTGTATCTTGGAAGCATGGAAGCAAGCAGCAAGATCTCACCTGTCTATTCTCCATTTTTTGCTAACATTCTTGTTCTTATTTTGTACATGTGCTCAAAGATATGCATAACTGTATTAGCACTTCAACTGCTTATTTTGTACATGTGCTCAAAGATATGCATAACTGTGCTGGCACCTTAGTTACCCTATTTTGTATAGTGCCAAAACTCTTGTAATGTGTTGCTTATCATCCTAGAAAGTGGCATGTTTTCACACTAAACACTTTATTGGTTACATGATTGGTTGGTGGGTCTGATGGAATTGTTTCCACGGCTGTTGATATCCGGTGTGGGACAAGGAGAAACATTCTTGACTCATGCGTTGGTGGAATGTGGTTCATTTCTTGCATTTTCCACTGTGAGATGAATCTCTCTTATTTGGGAGCAAAGACATGTCATTTACAGCAACTCTAAGTATCCTTTTGAGAGAAGTCAGATATTTGTGGGGCATATATAACCTATGGACGTTGTAAGCTGATACAACTACTCACAAGTTGACAGTTGGCACTAGGGAATGTGTATTCCTAATTCAGGACACTACTTCATGTATTCATGTTTCCTTCTTCACTTGCCTCAATTGTATTGTTTCATTCTAGTTATGGGGCTGGGTCTGGTCCAAAAGAAAACAGGATGGACTTTTGCCCGCTATGTTAACAGGTTTTTGGGCTCTGGAATTGGGATTTGATTCAAAATGGTTTTTATCCCTTTAAAGCATCATTGAAAATTTGAAATAGATTGGTTCCGGATTTTTTTTTTACCTAAAAGGCCAACAATCAAAATAAGTGTGAAAATTTATCAGTTTTTATAAGGAAAATAAAATCACAATTGGGGGATGCAGTAGGGATGGAGTGGGCCCGGTATTGTTTGTATTGATCCGACCTGGGCCCGGTATTGTTTGTATTGGCCCGGGACCAGTACCGACCCGGTACCCGGAGCAGCGGAGTTACAGGACAAGCCTTGGGCATGCATTTTGGTGGACTGGCCGGTCTTGGCCCGGTCTGGGTCTAATGGCTACTAATTCAAAAATATCCTTTAATTCAAATAGACCTTACTCGGGCCAGACCAAGGCCCGGCCGGGTAGCAAAAACCGTAACCGGCACCGGGCCTAAAGGTCGGGCCCGGGCGAAGTCTATGCCTAGGATGCTGCGGTCATTTGTGATATTGCCAAGATATATTGCGAGCCTCAAAGGCTCCAACCTTTGGTGGAGGTAAAGATGAACGGATGTATGTGACCTTACTCTTGTACTAAATCACAAATAGACTGTTTTCCGAATGATCAATGATGAAAATAATGTCGAAAATTGATGGACTGACTAATGTTTATAACAAACAAATGCGATTAGTTTATTGAGTCATTTTGCTTTATTCCATCATATTTCAAAGCCAAAAGTAGTAAGTCTTTGGCTACATTGAAAATGATGGAACAAACGTTAGTTTGTGAACAATTTTGAAAGCTCCAGTGTGCCAAGAATGGTGCATCATTTGGAATCGAGTAATCGAGTAAATCAATTTGTTCACTACGACCACTTGAAGTGGTGTAGGATTAGGAGTCCAAAATGTTAAAAATGGATTTTTTGGACTCCTAATTCATTGTAGTGGTTGGCAATGTAGGGGAGTAAAAATGGGTAATGGGATAGAGGGTTCTACATTTGAAGGGTGGAGTTGAGTCCCTAAAATTAAATGGAAAAGAAAAATTAAAGGAAGTGGGGCGGCCAAGTCAGGTGTGCGTAGGAATTATTTGAAGCAGATGACGTCACCCAGACGTCATGCTAATGTCACGAAGCACTCACAATGGTAGCTGGTTATATTTTTTAAAAAAATTGGTAGATCCAACGAGTGTGATGATTTGGACACTGTTTGAATGAGAAAAAGATTGATCTAACGGCTGAAATTGAAATCCAATGGTTAAAATAATTTATTTTATTTTTCAAATGTTTTTAATTAATATTTTGTCCAATGTGTTTAAACTCACATCATCCAAAAACGTAAAAAAATTAATGAAATTTATTTATTTTTACATAGAAATGTGTCTTTTTTTATTTTATAATTAATCAGAGAAAAATTTAAAACTAAAACATTACTTATAATAATTTATTTAATGTTTTACGAAATTGATAAGTAAAAAAATGTGCAAAGTGTATTTTATTTACGGTGCTGGAATGCAGAGAAATAGGAGAAATAGGAGAAATATTGACTGTTTTCAAATGGACGGAGTCATTTTTGAACATTTAGACTGTATGACCCCTCCAAATGGTCTAACATGACGCTAGACATGCACAAACCTTTTTCTTGCTTGGGCAGTGAAGTAGTGAAAATTGATTAGATGTACACTAGCTTGAAACAGTTTCAACGTGATATGACATGATCTAGTAGCATAAAAAATGAATTATGAACAATTTTAAGGTGTAATCTATACCGGTACGGAACCTTTTCAGATTATACGGCTTGTAATATATCTTGGCATTATCACAAAATGAAAATCAAAAGAAGTTGGAGTTAAGAACAATGTTGGGTTAAACTACTCATTGAAGATGTGGGCTTTGTACCTTACTTTACTCGATTTCTTAACGGACGGGGAAGTTTTATGTTTTGGAATATGTGAACTATAATAAAAGATATGTTGAAAGGTAAATATTAAGTTTTAACCCTGGCATTATAATTTCTTTATACTCCAGCTCCACATAAAATATTTGTGACCGCTATTCATTTATACAAATTCATCTGCTTTTCATTTATACAAATTCATGTTCATACTAATTAAGGTCAGGTCTAATTCCTTCTTTATCTATTGTCCAAAAAGGTTGAATTTCACGACCTCAAAGACCACCAAGTCCCGAGCTGATAAAGCATATATGAGTATAATGAGTGATTGTAAATTATAATGATCCAACTATTCTTAATCATGATAGATCTTATATCCGTGCGTATTAGAAGCTCAATCCAATACGCTGTGACCTGTGCAGGTTTTCCTTCTTTATCTATATCATGACACGATGTCATTGGGTGATCAGCTACTAATCTCTAGAAACTCCCATAATCTCATTTTGGAAATTATAAAATTATTTACTTGGTCCTATTGATTTTGTTGGGGTAAATAGACCTGGGCTAAGCATTCCCTAGCGGAAGGAGCTAGATATTTAAAACACTTGACCATTAATTAACAGTGGGGAGGCCACTGAACCCTACACAAAATGCCAAAGGTAAATGCAAGAACAATTGCACGTGAAAGAAAGTGGAGTGGTTATGAATGATTTGTCGCAAAAGACAAAGTGGTAATAATAAATACTTTCAAACTCATTCTTCCCATCAATTATTGTCTACACCCACAATAATAGATTATCTAACGTACATTGGATCCAGGTAGAGTCTCCCATTACAAAAGAGTGAAGTATATCCAATCAAAAAAGGTGTTTCTACCCACCCTTATAGTCACTTTTGTACCCATCATATTTGTGCAAAGTTTACTTTTTTATCTTTGAATCAAGTTCACAGACAAAATATGTCTGTGCAAATTATTTTGTTTGTGAATCGGATTAACAAACAACAAAAACCCTTCACGAACATGGTGGTATAAGATGGGTATAAGAGTGTGTACAATAAAAATGAGTGATTACTAAGGAGGTGTTTGAGGGGGTGTTTGGAACTGATTCTTCTTCTTCTTCTTTTTTAAAGCAGAATCAGAATCAGAATCAGTTTTCAGAAGTTCGCCACCCCTAGCTCTTAAAAAACCGTATCTATAAGTAAATTTGAGTAGCAGAATCACTTCTGCACTTTCACCCAAACACTCCACCTTCTATTTCTGCTCCCTGAAGGAGCAGAAGCAGTTTTAAGAATCAGATCCAAACACCCCCTGAATCTGATTCTTAAAACTGCTTCTAGTCCTTTATGGAGCAGAAACAGAAGTTGAAGTGTTTGAGTGAAAGTGCAGAAGTACTTCTGATGCTCTAATTTACTCCTAGAAGCGGTTTTTTTAAAAGATGGGGGAGACTAACTTTTGAAAACTTATTCTATTCTGCTTTTACTTTAAAAAATAAGCAGAAACAGAATCAGTTTCAAACACCCTAAAACAGTGTTTGCGGTTGCTTAAAAAAAGCGCTTTTCAGCTTTTGACTTAAAAAAAGCTAAAAAGAGTGTTTTCAAATGACAGCTTCTGCTTAAATTAATCACTTAAAAGCTAAAAGCTGGAAGCAGGTGGAAGGGTGCTTTAAACTGCTTTTCACTTTTTCTATTACACAAAAAGTACTTATTTTACCAAACATTACCAACTTTTACTTTTTCAGAATCACTTTTTTCTCAAACGCTAACAACTTTTACTATTAATCACTTTTCCCAAAATCACTTTAAAAAATCACTTTTTTAAAGTTGAAGTAATGGCAAACACTCCCTAAGTTGTTTATGTATAGTGAATCAATTCAACCCTACTTCGCGTACACCCTAGTTGTACACTTGTACAAGTCATTTTACAAGCGGGTCAAGTTATTTATGCATAGACATTTATTTCATTTTGTGAAAAGAATTGTTTTTCCCATACACAAAATTTGATTGTCTGCGACTCAGACACGCTTTTTTCTCGGTCGAAAAACGATTATGAAAAAATTATCGTACAAATAATTTAGTCGGTAAAATGTCATGTACAATACCATGTTTACAAACCGTATTTTCCGAATCTACTACTCCCTCATAGTAAGTTGTGTTGTGAAGTTGTACGGCACACCCTTTCAAACGCACCGCCCACCTTGGGTGTGGTCCTATGAATTACCACTTGCATGATGGGACTAAGCACTCTAGATTAGAGGCATTCAGTCAAATTTATGTACGTAGGATTCATACTAATTTACTCCTAGCTCAATGGGCAAAGGTTTAGACTAGTGAATTTCAGTTTTATCCATTTGATGTTCAGCTGGTTACTTGGTTGGTTTTGAAAAAAGTGAAAACGACAATGCAATGCATTTCTTTTGATCCAAAAGTGGAATCTCCCATCCACAGGAGTCCCCACACCCCGACCCGACATGATGGTGAATGAGTAAGTCACGGTGATTTAGTCAGTAAAGTGGCAGTAGGTCATACACCCGTGCTCACCAGAGGTCCAACTTTATTTCAAGTTATGTAACCTCCACCCGGTCACAGCGGGGATTCAAACATTGGTCCATTGATCCAAATTTCTCACAATTCAACCAACTGAGCTACCCATGCGGGTAATGCAACGCATTTCTTAAATCACATTAGATCAGTTTCGCTTCGGTTAATTTCGATCGATCGGTAACAGTTTCAGTAGATTTTAACACGTTTTGATTGAGTTTTATCCATTTCGATTTTATTCGGTTTGATTTGGGTCAATTTTGATTTTATTTAGTGTGATTTTATTCGGATCTCTTTCAATTTTGTCAAACCCCTATAGTTTTCAGTGAGGCTGTTGAGAAGGATTCAAACTAATATAACGAGTAACGCAATTCGTCAATTATTGTTGTACAATATTTGGGGGCTTGCAAAAATTAGGTTTTGCCATTTAATGGTGTTGTTGTTTTAATTAATACTACGTACTTGATGTAGCCGTGTCGTCAAACGTATATTGAATTACCAAAAAGATTGAAATGC